CTGCCAAATAATATAACTATATATATATATATATTGATGGGATTATTTTTTGATTTCTTTGTTTGTAATTTGTTGATGTTCCTATTGCTGTGTTCTTTTATGCATACATGTAGAAGTACGTACAATGATCGACGATGCTAGGGACTGTCTTAAAATTGTAATGACATTGTATATATCGAATACATTTTTGACAAAGACAAACATATATATAGTAACAATTAAAAGGATAAATCGAGAGGAACAACATGTTTAATAACGGAAAACATACACGAGCAATAACGAAATGAATATTAGTTCGAGCTGATACAACTACTACAATTACAAAGAGGGGGAAATTAGGGACTGCCTTGATAAATTATCTGTTGCACTTTTATTGGGGGACTGGTCCTTTCTAACTGAAGGGTGAGTGGGAGGAAATTAAGGGGGCCTTGTAAAATTTTGGGAATGGAAAGGGGGAGTATCCAACTTGTTGCACCGAAGTGTTTTCAAAAGATTTGAGCAGCTCTGTATTTCAAACATGCAAAAATCATAGCTAATTGATGAATACACTATTTTTCCTTGATGACCTAGAGATGCGGAATCAAGAGACGCACACCCTACCGTGCGCTCACCATACATTAAAAAAATGTAATATTTTGGCACAAAGAAAATGATTTCCTTCCGGCTCAATTCTTAAGAAGTGGGGTCTTGAATTTATTTTATTTCTTCAAGGTGGGGACTTGAAAAAAATAAGAGAAATTCAAATGTTTCCTTCAATCCACTGGAATGCTCAAACATAAGAATCTCGTCACCTAAACAAAAATTTGAAAATGAAGAAAACATATTTAGGATTTGAAAATTCCAGTTTTTTATACCTGCAACTTCTAAATTTGAAAATGAAATTTTATAAGTATAAACACAAACAATCACATACTGGCAAAGTGAAATATCATAGTTTTCAAATTAACTAGAATTATAGAAATGTTTTTAATTAAAAAGAACAAAGCATGTATTGAGTACGGGGTTGAAACATACATTTTATACCGCAAAAGAAAACGCGAACCTGATAGAGCGCATGGCAACTGGTGTAATTACATTGAAACTATGGATTCATAGCATACAACTCTACCATTACATTCATGTAATTATTGTTTTCTCAATTTCTGGACTGTTATTTGTTTTCAAATAATCGTAATTTATATACAAAAAAGTCTATTAAATAAAGAGCACCGTCCTCTAATGTAGACTAGTGTATAACCACAGGACATACATTCTAGGAGATGATTGCAATTTAAGCTTGTCATATATTTTTATTGTTAACTTCTTAAACTGCGTGTAAAACGCCACAATTGGGGTGTGTAATGCTGTGTATCACTTAGATTAAAGAACTAGTAAATAAACGTTTTAAAATTTTCTTTTTTGAGAATATTTAGTACCAAGTTGCATGGAACGTACCAATCCCCCTTAATTAAAAGCAGACGTCCCTAATGCTGTGCTAGCTCAATAACTTCTAAGTTTTTATGGTCAAATATTTGGACTTTTGGAAGCAAGGTGCTTGTGTTAGTTCAATTAAAATAAACTCAAATGTAGGAATGGTAAATTTACGATTATTTCAGGAATTTAAAATTTCAGTTACTTATGATTTGGACAAAATAACAGGAATACATGTATACTGTTCATCCAGTGGAACTTAATTTTCTTTAAGATAATTTAATGTTGTTGATTTTAACAAAATGTCAACAGGTTTAATCACTACGATTTGACTTACGACTGCCTGTTAACACTCGTAAGTTTACGATCAAACTTACGATAAAATTCTACTTCCGATTGTTTATGAAACGGTCAAAAACTTACGATTTGACGTACGACCGACGTAAGATCTAAGATTGTCGTACGATTTTTTGTGAACCGATTGCCTGTTTACAAAACTTAGAATTTTTCGAAATACTAAGGATTTCTACCCCAAGAAAAGATTACCTTAGCTGTATTTTGCAAAACCTCACGGAATTTTGGGTCCTCAATGCTCTTCAACTTCGTACGTTATTTGGCCTTTTTGGCATTCTTGATTCAAGCGTCACTGGTGGTTCTTTTGTGGATGAAACACGCGTCTGGCTTACAAAATTTTAAGCCTGGTACGATGTATTTATGAGTGTTTTACTTTATACAAAGGTCACTTTGAGTTCTCGGCGTATATAAAGACTGTCCAATATAATTCTGATATCAACCCATACAGGGAGGTTCCTCATCGCAGTTTTTGTTGGTGTTATTCATTTTGAAAGTCAATGAAACATCTTTGATTTTCCCCTCTAGATTTCAGGTTATATAATGTTACTGTTTTGGTATATTTGTGAGACAATTTTCTTTTAACAATATGTTTTTTTTTTTTAGAAATTAAGAAATTACTATCTCTACGAATTTGATTCATAGTAGAGCATTATAAATTGTACATGACTTTGGCATACGTTTAGTAGTTCGACAAAATTATTTGATTGATTGGTTGTTGCTTGCTTAACGTACAGCGGCAATGGACCTCATTAAAGTCCTGTTTTCAGTCAGATAGTACCGTAGCTATATGAATCAATACCGCAACAAAAATGTTTCAAAGGTATTATTTAAAGGTTCACCCTGATGTTCCGGTAATAAACTGCATGATTTTCTTTTTATCATTTAAGCAAACAAAAATACTGTTAGCCTCTTGTTTATTTACTGTTTGTAAAAGTACAACAACGTTAAAATCTGGTCAAATAAACATGACTCATCTTATCTTAACAACCTGTTGTTACATACATTTAATATAAAGTTATTGTCAATTCATCAAAATTAATATAACTATCTATTTAATCTAACTTTATTAATATACTGTTTGTCTAGCTTTTTGATATATCATATATCGATGGTATTTTGTAGATACAAAAAAAAAACGTGTTTCTAAAGAAAACAGATAGATTTTTATTTCAAAATGTATTTGATAACGTTTATTTTCGAACAAAACAAATTGATTTGAAACATTTGTCATACAGACGGAGAATATAATATAACTATAATAATTATATAATATGAAAATAATTAATATTCTGGTCTCTAATTTGTATAGAAACTTTTTGTATAATTTATGTTAATTTTGTCATTTAGATAGGCAATTCAAAGTCAATAAACACTCTAAGAAAGAAGGACCTTGTGTAAGTTTCAACAGGATGTAGGAGCATAAGTGTTAGATCAGCATTTTAATTGTGTGTTTGTCATTATGTTAGTGATTTTTGTACTTCATACCGATCTAACTTGTCAAGCTGTTTCCAACTGATTTTTGCAGTTTGTTCTAAGCTTATGTTGTGCTGTTAGACCACTGTCACAGGTTAGGGGAGGTTTGTGCACTCACAAAACTGTTTAACCCAGCTTAATTCTATATGTACCTGTCCCAAGTCAGGAGCCTGTAATTCAGTGGTTGTCATTAGTCTGTCATCTTTGTTTTTCGTTTGTTGTGAGATAAATCAGGCCGTAGTTGTTTTCGTTTGAATTGTTTCACATTTTGTCATGTCAGAATATTTCAAAGCTGACTATACGGTATGGGATTTACTAATTGTTAAGTACGGTGACTTTCTATTACTTCATTTGGACTCTGTTGTCTCATTGGCAATCGTAACATATAATCTTATTTTATTTAACTGTGTAAATGTAACGATACACATGTAGTAATTTTATAATCTATTAAAACAAAATCAATGTAAGAACCGATAAATACAGTATCCAACATGTCCAAAGATCTTATTTAACAGTGTTCAATTGGTTATTATAACATATAGAAAAAGTTTATCGAAAGGTTCAATAAGTTTACACGGATCGTACCTAGATTTACGGGTTCTATGAATAACATCACCATTAGAAATAAGAATGTGATATCCCGTTTGCAGTAAAAACTTCCAAACCAAATCATTGTACAACAATTTGTCATAAAACGAAATTATTAAATTTTTAAGTGATTTGAGGTAACGAAATTCCCTACGTTATCTACCAGTTTTACATTGTGTTCACTTGTATTTTAAAAGCCATGCAATTCAGACACTGGTATAGCGACGAAGTAGGGAAACGCATACACCGTTGAAAGGAAACAAAAAGAACATTACATTCATTTGAAGCGGCATTTTTGACGACGTTTTTAAATATACTCCGACGAAGGTATCTTTTCAAATGGATATAGCTTAGAATGTTTGTCATTCTTAAACTTGAAAGGCACTGTTTAATCTTTTAGCAAAAACAAACAAATAATTTTTTTCCACATTTTTACATTTACAAAGTTGTAAATCAAAAACAAAAGAGCAAGTCTCTGGTATTTTTAATTTCCCTATTGACACTAAATAGTAACTGGCTTGCTGCAATAAAGGGCTGATAATAACTAGATGATTAAACAGGTAGGGCCAAATTCTCCTGAATTTATTTTACACCAGGGCAATTTTAAAGTCTTTCAATCTTAAGTTCATAACATCACACCCCTATCTGTAGATTTCAGAAGGAAAAAAATTATCCATTGGCCACCATTTTTTAAATGAATGTCAAAATTCATAAATTCATATTGCTCGAATTTAAGCAAAACTTTATAACTACGCTGAGGCAGTCTGACTAATGCCAGCCCCACGATCCACTTGCGTTTGTAGGTACAAACGCAAGTGGATATTGGGGACTGGCATTATTCCGACTAACGCTGAACAAGACTTCATCAATTAAAATATATTATACCATATGAACATGTATTGCTTTGTTGGAGTAGTATTTTGGGGTATTACGCAAATTCATTTCTCTTGCATATGATTTGACTATGGACAATATTTTCTGCAGGTTGTTTTTAATTTGCAATAATGTATTATTAATACTTTTCGTTTCAAGTTGTTAACTAGTTATATATAAAATGAATATAAATTTTTAGTATCCGCCTGTAATTTCAATGCAACATGATAAGGTAGGAAATCGATACATTAATTGATTGATGATTGCTTTACGCCGCATCACCAACAAATAAAGCCTTTATCGCGGCGATTGGAAGGAATCAAAGGCAACCCTCGTTATACAGAACAGCTGTTACACATTACTGTGGTATAAAAACAGTAGTCGACAACAGCATTTGCAAAACGATTGTCTACCAGACATTAAACAACAAAAATCAAGAAACATATCATCCACCACTACGGTCACAGTTTTGTAATACTGTTCGTCTTTCCTGCTTGCACGTTTGCTGCAGGTAAGTAATTTGTAAGATAATTTTGATCTCTGATTTTGTAATGCTCATAGGGTCAAAGCTAAAATATTGAGTCTATATCAATGAAGTATACTGCAACATATTGTGTCACAATTTTACGTATTTGAATAAAATCAGTGAAATTCAGCGCTAATATGTTGCTGTGGAAGGTATTTTCATACAAAATAGCGAAGGGAGTAAACACTAATTTCCCCTGTATTTATTTTACTAGCAGGATGACATTCTAAAATTTGTTTTTTATATATTTATCTTTATTCCACTAGAAATTTAATATTAGAGAGTCTATATTATATAATTACAATATCATTTAGCAATTGTACACATTTCCATAAACTCAAAATACTATTCAGCGCATCATGTTGCTATTGAAGACATTTTCATACAAAATTATAAATTTTACATGTTTTTCAAATTTTGCATCAAAGTACACTGATAACCAAAATAAATTAACTGGTATCCAAAAGACAATGCAATGCTTCACTTTCAAAATAATTTTGATGGTGGTTTAGGATGATGTTCTTATACCTTTTTGTGACAAATACTCAAAATGAGCTATGAGAAACGAAAACGCTTTCTTATTTTAAGAAATTTGAAGTAGACTGATTTTGAATATAGTCACCATAGAAATGCTCAACAATATTCAATCAGATCTTTTAATTTTTGATAAATTTGAAGATTGCTTCCAATGGCTCGTAATTTCTCTTCCATTCTCACAAAGTTTTGAAATAACAAGAAAGGGGCCACTGATGACTTAACGACAGTTTTGCAGTTCAAGAAGATTGAAGATTTTTCCCTTTTTTTTTTAGAACATTTATATCAGTCGGTCCGTGATGGAAAATGACAAAAGCCCCTTGTAACTACAAATGTACTTGACAAAATAAGGTCAAATCAAGACCTCGATATTTCCGACAACAGCGTCAATAAACATTTACACAATGCTAATGATATATTTCATCAAGGAATTTGGAAGTATCAAATAAAATAATTAGTTATTGGGTATTACATAAGAATGGATGCACAAAATTAAGATAACTACTGTCAATGTTATGCCAGGTAAATATATACATTAAGAAATAAGTCTGTGCAATGCTTTATAAAATCTACCAAAATTTACTTTCTTACATGTACATTTTGGTTTTTAAGTTGTGACCTGTACTTTCTTGTCATTTAATTGCATGTAGAATGTATATATATTTTTTTAATTATATTTAATATCTCCAAACTGTTTTTTTTTTTGTTTTTTTTTTGTGGAAATAAATCAATATCTGAGATCAATTTTTAAACTTTGATTGGTATAAACATGATATATTTGAGGTAAATGAGCGAGACATTCAAAGAATTTACGAAAAAGACTTGATGGAACTTTAATGTGCATAGCCCTCAACCTTGACTAAATGCAAACATCAACAATACTTATTTGTATACAATAACTTTAGAAGATAAATACTGACAGAAGGGTCTTACAGGCCAATTTTTAAAAAAAGTACACGGGTGGTCAAATTGGTCGGGATTTGTTTTGCTGCCGAGTCAACATGCATGTTGAATGCATCTATCCCATCGAACTTGAAATAAAAGATAGTTTATCTCATATGTTGACTTCCATCTGGCAATTGGCAATGAGGGTCGATTGAAAACAAAACACTACGACAAAAGAGATGATAATGTTCGTTCGATTTTTATGTAGCAACATTCTAGCAGTTCCTGCATATGGAGTATATCTCTCAGTGCGTACGAAATTTACGACCTTGCATTTATCATCATGATTTACTTGATAGGGGGTTGCTGTTTCCATGAAAGCTATTAAACCAAGAGTTCCAAGTGAGAAAGTTGAAGCCATCTCTTTGAAAATGTTACGGACACTATCACAAGTTGGTTTACCGTTATGGAACATCTGTTTCACAGATGACGACGGAAATGATTAAATTGTCGTAACCACAATACCGCCCTCTTTTCGTCTGGTGTGACCTACCGAATTAGACGTATCACCGGGTTTGTTCTTACATGAGCAACACAACGGGTGCCACATGTGGAGCACATTCGGATTACCCTTCCGGAGCTCTTGAGATCACCAACAAAATTTGGTGGGATTCGTGTTGCTCAGTCTTTAGTTTTCAAAGGTGTTTTTGCATGGTCTTTTTTTGTCTTCCCCCATAGCATTGTTAGTTTGTTTTCTACTTATGAGTATATGACTGTCCTTTTGTCTTCCTAAAAATGTTATTGCAAGGTTTCTATAATTTGCAAAGACGGTGGCATAAACCTAAAAAAGACGTATCGAATTCAACTGTTGCATTACGATCAGACGTGGTTGTGTACGTAACGTTCCGTACATAGTCTACCGGATGCCCCTCTTTGGCATGGCTCTTATTATGGCAGATTGAGAAGACCTGATTATATTTCAATTCCCTAATCAGAAATTTGGTCAAATATAGTTAGTTATGATTTGGTCACTTTATCATGCTACTGTTGTGGAGTTGTGAATTTAAGCAAAGACTTAAAGCCTTGTTTTGACTTCCACTACAAAACGGGACTTGACTGTTTTACAGCATATACTAAAGATCTGTATACATGTGCGTAATCTAATGAGTTTTTGAAAGGTTTATTTCACATTCAGAGAGCATATTACAATACAAACATGAAGGTTATCGGATTTATCATTCATATTCCAACTAAATACGATTGAGTATTTGGACATTCCTTGTGAGCATCCATTTATCAAATTACTACAACCAGAAAGAAGAAATTTAGATGGCCTGCGACTAAAAGGTAGACGAGTTAACTTAATAAAGCCCATTAACTAGAAAGGTACCGGGTAAGCATCAATTATATTACAAAAACCTTAATTAAATTCCAAGTCGAAGTATTTAGTTAAATGAGTTATCATGAGTATTTAAGACAGGAAATACCGAAAGGAAATTTTAATCAATACAAATTAAATATGTCATTTGCAAATTCCATAACATTCGTGCAAAATGTCTTTAAAATGGCAAGAGACACTAAAAACTACGTTCAAACAGAAAATTTATTTAACTTCTTTTTGTCGCAATTCATACCATGTACTTTAAAGTCAACATCTGCCAATTACAGAATGGTTCACCATAAAGGCTATGTAATTTATCTAAATTGTTTTCAAGTATATTCGCTAGTTACGTTTATTTAATTGAATATCATAAACAAAGAAACAAAACGTATCCCATGTATTTCTTCATTGTAAGCGTTTGTTCATCTCATCGGTATGGCAGTCAGAGTACTGAGTTGGAATTATATTAAATGTCACAGAATATATTTGTATTTAATCTAATCTGGACAAGTACTTTCCAGTCCTATTGTAAACTGTTGTATTATATTCCAGGCGCCATATATCTTATTGGCCTTTGTTAATGTGTACTTTAAGTGCTTCAATGCGAAAGAGCGTTCGTGTCAACATTAGGACATCCAGTGCAATGCTAAGAGTAAAATGCAAGGTTGAAAATATCGATCTAAACGCATGTAAATGGGATACCAATTCGAATTTCGAAAATCTCTATACCAACAAAACAAAAAAATCTTAGAGATAAAATAATTTCATAGGAAAGACGTGTTTGAAAATAGAACACGTAAAGTTTTGTGAAGGCGCGACCTACAATTGCTCAAATTTCAATTTTGACGGATATTAAGTTTGCGAAAACAAATGGTATTATAATACGTTTGCGCGAATGTACCTATAATTTACTGAGTTTTTACCAGTATTTTAATCCTAAGAATATTCCCGAAATTTACAGAATTTGTGTTATCAATTAAGTGTATTGATAAAATGATAACCAAAGAAGTCTTATATCAACATTAAAAAGAACTACAAGTATGTAAAATCAAAATCTTGAACAAAAAAGATAAAATTGGGAATGGAAACGGCGAATGCGTCAAAGATACAACAACCCGACCAAAGAGCAGAAAACAGCCTAAGGCCACCAAAGGGTCTTCAACACAGCGAGAAAATCCCGCACCCGGAGGCGGGCTTCAGCTGGCCTCTAAATAATAATGTATACTAGTTCATCTAATGGACGTCACACTAAACTCCGAAACATATAAATGAACCAAAATAAAAAAAAAACATACAAAGGCCAAAGGTCCCTGACTTGGGACTGGCGCAAAAATGAGGCGGGGTTAATATGTTTTGTGAGATCTCAACCCTCCCCCTTTATCTCTAGCCAATGTGGAATAAACAAACACACAGCAATACGCACAGTAAAATTCAGTTCAAAAGAAGTCCGAGTCCTATGTTAGAATAGGTAACAGAAGAAACTAAGCAAAATGAAAATATTCAAAATTAAAAACCAATTGTTCAGAGAACAATTGAAGGTCTTTCCACCAGTAAAAATCTGTTTTGATATGAAAATATTTAAATTCGGTTTAAAATGTCATTTCAAGCGTCAAATGATGGCGTATTGTATGCTTATTCCTAAAATATATGTTTTCTATTCAATTTTTTTTTAATAAGGGAGATAATTTGCGACTTCCGGTTTGAAAACTGACACTTCCCGTATTATTTGATAATTTACTTGACACCGATTCCAAAAATATATGGTTCTATATACTTTTACATCAAATATGTACATAAAAAACTACTTCCGGTTCACACAAGGTCACTTCCGGTTGGCTTTCCAACTTCAAATGATAATACAAAAAGTCCCATGACTTCATCATGTATACATATGACGTAAAAGCAAAGGTCAAAATCTAGAAAATCAAATCTACCAATGACCTTGAGCTCAACCAAAATGTATGTATTCCAACATGTCGCAACTAACAATTGAGTAAAAATATGTTGTCGATATCGTATACGGTTTTTGAAAAGAGGTGAAAATAAGCCAAAATCAAAATTTAGAATATGACCTTGACCTTTGACATTGACCTAATTTTCTTTTCTTTGGACCAAGGACCTCAAATCAAATGACCTTAGGTTTCTATCACTTATGGTTTACCAGTTTCACATGCATATCACTTAT